TTTCAATAACTTTTAAGCATTAATTAACTGTGTCTTCTCAATGCTAAACCATGCAATTTAATTTTCAAAACACTTTTCTCTCTTTTAGAAAGTTAATACAAACACATTAGGTTTGAACTGGTTTCATTTCTCTCCCAAACAAAACCAATGAGGTCCTGCCAGGTTTAACGCCACCCTTTGGAAGATACTGTTGTTAATTTTTGTACTAAATTCTCTATGCCTCCAATACCAGTATGTATGAGAAAGCATGTCAGAAAAATCAATCTTATGTTGAGAACAACAGATGTGAATGTTTTTAAGCACAAAGCTGCACAATGGACTATAATATGTGCTGTACCCACTGCAGAGATAATTTAGGCTAATCTTTCATTATTCCCAAGCTGTCAGTTAGCAATATGCAACAAGTTATGAGTCATTTCATTATCTAAAATATATACTAATAGTAATAGCAAAAGCTGAATAGTACATAAAAAAAAGAAAAAAGAAACGTGTTCTATTGGTTAGTTTTCCATTCCCTAGAACCCGTTTTCAGAAATGTTAACTTTAACACGTGTATTAAGAAAATACACACATAATACTTATGTTAATCCTTTTTTTTATGTTTTAACTCCCTAGCGGTGGCTGAAAGAGAAAACGTTGTCGATGAAGTGTTTTCTTGCTTGTTCTAGATATTCGTGCAAAGCTACACATAGGCTAATTACCGTTCTTAAGTTTCAACTGTAGACTAGAGGGCATCTAGTCAAATACACCATGGCATGCATCTCTTAGGTTATTGCAGTCGAATAGAGGAATTTTACCGCCACTCTATAAGGCATCAACTGTCCAAAAGTGCGAAGCGCAATTATTTTGAGGTAACAGGAAGTGAACCATGGACCCTCGGACTCAAATCTCGGTGCGCTAACCACTTGGCCACGCCAAGCCTAAAGTTTTATCCTCCAGTTGAAAAACACTTTAATTCGGTAATTAATGTGTATTATATGTATCGCAGTGAGTTATACGATTTCCATTTATATGTATTTTATTTTCAAGTCCCCTGGTGGTAGGCTAAAATTAATAATATAAGCGTTGTTAATACATTCTTTACGAACAAAAGCAAAGGGCAACATACAAAATACTTATTTGAACGTCTTGAAATTTACACATTCCATCGTTAGCAAACTAAAAAATTACAAGAAACATAAATATATATTACATATACACATATAATAAGTACTACGAAATAATAGGGAGTAAAAAATAACATAAACTGGAAAATAAAAGTTATACATCAAAGTACGGAGAGCTCAAAGGAGCATGTTATTGTTTTTTCTAGGAAGTGAAGGGGTAGCCGTTATTGTTTAGGGTGTTTTGTCATAAAATTAATTTCGGAGTGAACTGAGGAATAACCTTTAAAACAACTTAAATAATTATGTTTTGAGGTTATATTTCGTTATTTTTACGAACATTTGCAGTACTGTATAAATTCAATCACCTAAAAATGAAGCAAAAAAAGTGCACTACTTTTCTCTTTGGAAACTTTCTTCACGGCACGTTAACTTTCCACTTTATAAAGTATAGTTAACCTTACGTAGCTTGCAGAGTGCTAAACCAGCGTCGGGTTTCTGAACTTAAAAAATGATAGCCTGACTACACTGTTTACTTAAGAGAAACTAAGTAAAGTTAATTACGGAATTACAAAGTTAAACATGATCACGTGCATCTAACTTTGTTAAAAGGGTGAGGGCAAGTATAAGGAATAACTGACGAGCGAACGAGGCGAGAAAACTTGTAGTTAAAAAATATTCAAAATGGGGTTGCACGAGCCCATTCTACACCCCATCTCCCGGTTAGACGCCTATGTTAGGACAATATTTTAAATATTCTGTTTGTGTATTATAAAAATGAGCATTATATAGTACTGACATTTTCTTTCTTTGTAGTCTTTGCTATTCTGTTTTGTTTGTTTGTTTTGCTCTTTAATATGTTACGAGCCTCGGTCCTTATATTGCAAACTGAGACTGAATGAAATACATAACCTAATGATCTGGAAAAACAAATTTCACGTCCTCCACGTTAATTATGTAACTCTAAAATAGCTCTCTTTTTTTAACTATTAAATACTAGATGTACTTGCGCAGGGGACCCGAAAGTGTTCCGTTTCAAGAGTAAATGAAAACAATGTTAAGAGTAACAAATATTTTTATTTATTGTTTTCGAAGTTAATATGTCATGCTGTGTTGTAGCCTAAAGAGTACATAATTCTTCTCGTAATTCATGGCATGCGCACGTTTTACTGACGTCACGATAATATACATTCCAACGTTAAGCGTCCGTTATGTGACGTCATTTTAGTGCCTACTGACTGACTGACTGACAGGCAACACATTACTGTATAGTAGTGCGAGTGGTTAAACAAAAACAAAAAAACAACTGCTAAACAAATGAAACTTTACACAAATCACTTGCATATTAAGCAGATATTTTGTAACAGTGTGGAATTCTCATTTACGTTGAGGTTAAGTTATTGTCCCAAAAGGGGGAGTCCTAAGGCCGCTTGGAAGGGTCACCTGTTTTAACAAATAACTACTCATTGTTGGGATCTGAACAGTTGACAGTTGGTTGTACATAATTCCTAAACCTCATACGCAAAGGAAACGTTCAGTTTACTAAACTATTCTTGTGTTATCGTCGACACAATACGAATTCAATGACAACATCAAATGTAAAGGAAGGAAAAAAAGCTAATGACACTTTTTGAAGGACAGGTTTGGCACTTTTCATGTATAAACAAGCCACTATCCCTAGTTTATATATAAACCAACTTTTTTTCGTGTAATTTTCTGCAAACAGGAAACAAGGGGATGGAATGCGAGTCCTCTTTACCTTTCTTAAAAATAGTTTTTATTACTGGTATTTAGCCAAACCGCTTAACGATATTCTGATAACATCTATTTTAAGTCACGTGCAGTGGACAACGCGGAAGCTGTTAAAAGTCACGAAAACTACAGCGAATAAGCTCGTTAAAAAATGTGTATTAGCATTTAGCTGATTAAAGGGTTTCTCGTTCTATAAAAGTGAACCAAACTCTGGTTCTTAGTTTACTAAGCTGTGCCCGTTCTGTTGTTATAAAAAGGGCATTTCAATCTAAGTAAGTATAATTCAAATACACAAATAAGAATTTCTTACTATAAATGCCTCCGAACAATACGTTTTCACTAATGATGAGGCCTACCCTATTTTCAACATACGTTTACACATTACCTTCCTATGATATTCGGCTGACAATTGACGTATTGTTGTAAAAGTTGTGTTTTCCAGTAAAGAAAAAGGAGATATACTAATCTGTGTTTATAATTCGAACTGTATCTATTTCAAATATTACTCAACTTTCCTGAGATCGAAAAACAGCAAAGAACTTATCACTAGAACAGTATGTATAAAAACAAAGCCGATGCAATTTCTTACACGAAAATTTCGTCTACGATCGAAGATCGTTTGTTTATATAGACTAC